CTACCACTGAGCCACGTATTCAGTCCCTTTTAATTTTTATTTTGAGACAGACCAATGCTAAGTTGCAGAGCTGRCCTCAAATTTGAAAACTTCTGTAGCCTCCAGGGTTGCTGGGATTACAGGCATGTGCTACCATACTGGGCTAAAACATCAAAACTAGAGAATAGTAAGGATTACACAACTTTGAGAATGTACTAAAAATCACTGAATTGTATACCTTGAAAGGGAGACAATAATGGTATATTTCAAGAAAGCTCTTATTARGGAAAAAAATCATCCTACAAAAGAGGAAAATATACGAACAAAAAAAAGACCTCAAAACTAGAATAGGAGCCAAGCGAGGTAGTGCACACCTATAATCACAGTGACTGAGGCTGAGGCAGGAGGATTGCAAGCTCAATGGGCATGTGTATATATGTATGTGTGTACATATATATATAATATATACACACACACATACATACATATACACACACATATATATATATACACACACATATATATACACACACATATATATATTTCATAACAACATATAAATATTAATAGGACACAAAGCAGTAAATAACAAAAGGCTCAATGAAAACCGTTGACAATGTAGGCTTCCGAGAATAAAAAAAATGGCACAGGGTGTAAGGTATTGAGTTTTTAAAAATATGTGTTTGTAAATCTTTTTTTGTTGTTGTTGACAAAAAAAATGAAATTAAAAATGAGAGGGGATGTCCAGTGCAGTCTCATCTGCTTTTGCCATGAGTCCTCTCTAATACTAAAGCTTTAGCAAGTCAGAAAGAAAGAAAAAAAAATTCCAATTTTCCCTTTCCACACAATCATTAAGTAATAATAAGTAAAACTTTCAAGTAGGTTGAGAGAGACCCAAGTGAATAGTAGGAGAGCCATTCAAAAATGTAGTTTCAGAGGCTGGGGCTGGGGCTGAGTAGCAGAGCCCTCGCTAGCACATGTGAGGCACTGAGTTCGATCCTCAGTACCACATTAAAAAATAAAATAAAGGTATTGTGGCCATCTATAACTAAAAATATATTATTAAAAAATGCACATTCAAGGGGCTGGGATTGTGGCTCAGTGGTAGAACACTCGCCTCTCGCGTGTGAGACCCTAGGTTCGATCCTCAGCACCACATAAAAATAAATAAAGATATTGTGCCCATGTATAACTAAAAAAAATATTTTAAAAAATGTACGCCCAAAAGGTTAAGTATCACAATGCACCAGACAACATGTGTCTGCTCTTGAGAAGTTAAATCATCCTCAAATTTCAGCCACTGAAGTTTTAGGATTTTGGTTCCCAAATGACTATCCCAAAGAAATGTAACATCAGTGATCTGGCTTTTTTCCAAAGCTTCACAAACTAAAATATACCATATTGACTGAAATAACATTCTGGAAGGTCTTTGGGGTGACAGTAAATGTCATAACATTCTGGAAAGCACATGACTTTGAAAGTCACAAGGAGTTACAGGTGATCTAAACTTTACTAAGTTTTCAGGTATGCCTTACAAAAGATCAGACAACTGAATAACACCATATTTAGCTAAAATTATATACTTACTTTCTAAACATATCACACATATGAACTGTGAAAAATAATACATGCAAAACAATATAAAAATTAAAAGACACACTACCAATTCAAGTTAACAGCTCAACTCTTTGGAAATATCTGCATGGACTTTACCACTTAAGGACTCTCCAAGTTTTAGAATTCAGAGCTGAGAGACCATGTGGGTAGAGAGATACTCTAACAGGAAGATTTTATTAACTAGTTCTCTCTTATTATCTCAATACGATTTTAATTGCAAGATGACAAGTAAATTAAATCCTATTTTCCAGCTCTCCTGCAAAGTGAAACTGCTTAATGTACAAGTCTCTTTTCCCAACTAATAAGCAAAAATGGACAATAAAAACTGAAGAGGACAACATTTTCATTCTAGGACTAAATCCAAATTTTGGAAAGCATTAAAAAAATTCTACAATATTAGTCCTTTGGAATCTTGCTAAACTGAATAACCTACCAAGCTCCCAAAATAATAACAAAATCCATAAGAAGGTAAGCAAAATCTAGACTATTCAAGACATGCCATCAGCCACATGGAGCCAATACAGCAGAAATTAGACTTCCCAAGTAACAGCAGTACGATGCCTTAAAAGCTCATTCCACTTGGGAATATCCCCAATGAATTCAGGTGGTAACCAGATCCTTGACACTCAGAATGCTGCATCTTGTATAATAAATATAAAGAAACATGAAGTTTTAGCTTCTTTCACTAGAGAACAGTTTCTAAAAAAACACCCTCATTCTCTAGAAGCTTGTGTGGTCCATTTCCCTYGGCCTACCCACTTCATTCTGGTGGTTTTATTTTGTTTATTTATTTATTTTGGCGATGCTGGGGATCGAACCCTAAGCCCCATATATACTAGGTAACTGCTCTATGCTCAGCTTCTCTCCCAGCCCTTCATATATACGTGTGGGGAGGGATGGTGGGGACTGAACCCTGGGCCTCACTCTTATAGGCAAGTACTCTACCAGTAAACTGCATTCCCAGACCCTGGTCCACAATTTTTAGAAGTTGGGCACTAATGAGAGAGCTGAAACCTTCATTCCTATCCAGAGGTCCAAGCCACTCTGCAAATTCTTTATCAACATTTAGAAAAGAGAAAGCTAAGTCAAAAAATAGGTGACACGTGAGACTAGAAGGCTGGGAAGGGCAGCTTCAACCCCAGCTCTGGCATCAACCCCTGTGGGGCCTTACCTGAGTCACCCAGTATTAGGGGCCCCAGGACCACCCCAAGTCTAATAGCTCTTGGGAAGACTCATTGGACTCAGCACAGTCATACAGCCGAGAATTAATACAACAATAGGACACAGCACAAGCAGCAAGAGGAAAGGTGTATGGGGTAAAGACCAGAGGAAACCCGTGTGGCCTCCTAAGTCTCTCCTGGGTAGTAGCGCAGGGCGTGGTTAATTCACCCAGTCCTGAGCTGTGACAGCTGAGTAAAAAACTGTCCACTGGGAAAGCTCCTTAGAGACTCAGCACTCGGGAGGCTTACAGCAGGCTGAGATGCAGACACAGTTAAGCGCTCGCTGAGATGCCAGACTCCCCAAGGGAAATGAGGTGTGCAACATAAATCATAGTGTATTGCAGGTTGGACACAGTGATGCTCTCTGATTCCACTCTGGCAATGGCGGAAACCTTCGCCAAATCCACGTTTCCGCACACCAGCCCGGAGCCAGACTTGTGAGCAGGCCCTGCTGAGGACAGCAGTCTCAGGCCTGCTGTGTTAACTCCTCTCTGCCCTCACTTCCCTAAGATCTCATTTTCACATGGTTTTCCCCCCTGACCCACTTGCTACCTTCCAAAAATGTACAGAAGCCACTCTGTAAGATAGAAACTCTGTAAGATGGTATAAATTCAGGGCTTCGGGCCTCAGGAAGCCACACAGCAACAAGAGACCATCCCTGGGAGAAAAGAATTTCTTTGTTCAAGGCAGTTATCCCAGTGACAATGGTGACCTTATGTTTAAAAAGCCTTCTCCCCCTCAAGGCCGCCCCTCCCAGTTCATCTGCACCTTTCAGCTTTCCCTAAGAGATCCTCAATATCGTGTCTTTAAGTTCTTCCCCTTCAGTGTTCTCACCACATGCATATTCAGAGACCAGAGCACATACATTAGGTGTACCTTATATAAGACCAGAAGTGCTTCAGAGGTCTGTTGTTTGGATTTGGAAATATCAACTTTACCAGTTGAGAAGGACTCTCAAGTTTTAGAACTCAGAGCACTTCAGACTTGGGATGCTCAACCTATAATTCTATCCTCACTGATTATTTTTTGTTAAAAACATGAACATTTTTAGTTCCATCTAATTATCTTGTATGTAACACAAAACCCACATGTATAACATCCAGGCGTGGTGGTGCATGCCTAAAATCCTGGCAACTTGGGAGACTAAGGAGGGAGGACCATAAGTTTGGGCTAGCCTGGGCAATTCATGGAGACCCTGTCTCAAAAATCATGTGGGTCAGTGGTAAAGTGCCCCTGGGTTCCATCCCCGGCACTAAAACATAAGACAGGTGACTCCTATATACTATTTCAGCATTCCATTCCATATCCAGATGCCCAGTACTCTATAAACTCTTACATAAAACAGAATAGAAAAAGTTAAAAGGTAAGCAAAAAGAACAGGATATGAATCCTGGCTACAAATCTTATTGGCCATGTAATCTTTCGAAAGTCATTTTGCGCTTCTAGGACCCTGCTGTTCTGATGGACACAAGGAAAGTCTCAAACAAGCTGCTCCAAAACCGCACTCCCATTCTGATCTCCCAGCAATTTCCCATTACTTTCTTCCTTAAAGGAACAGCATGGGGTAAAGGTTTAGAATTGATTTGGTGCCAGCTTGGTGCCAGCTTTCTCCATCACAGTTGAAATGATAAACATACAATTGTTATACTACTTTATTTTCATTATAACAAAGAACTATTTGTGGATTCAAGTCATCTTGGGTATGACAAGACACTGGTTCCTCGAATTAGTTTCCACACTTTGACTGAACAGAAAGCTAACATTTTGAAGATATTTTCCAAAAATACTATATTATTGCTCCCAGATACATTTGGGAAAGTCTTTCTTAATTCAAATAAATATATCCCAAGTACCTACCATACCTTGTGCTATGTATACACAAGATGCAGAACCACAGAAACTTAAAGAGTACTGGGTGTTAACACCAATCACCTTTTAAAGGTGCTTCTAAAATCAGTATGTGGCATAGGAATGGGCCAGATGTCTAAAGGAGAAAGTCGTATTTGAGAGAGTAGAATCGGAGGGGAACCTTATGTATGATTCAGTCAAGATCTCCAACCACCAACCCTCAAACCAKGCATTCTTTGAATAAAATCACCACATCAAAAACAGTACTGCAAACCAAGATGGTACCTGAGAAAGAGCAGGGAAAGGGTAGAAAAAAAGGAAAAAGTTTGAACTTACCGGGACTGTGGCAATCCTTTTTTACTGAGATCTGCCCTCACACGTTCTCCTACATGTCTGTAAATTTCCACTAAGCTGTTTATTGCTGCATCTCGAACCTAGATGGAAAAGAAGACACCTTATGGATGCTGTGTGTCACTCCCCAGCACTTCCTGCTGGGTCACAACAGGCCACAAGCCACCCCAACTTATCAGCACAACTAAATACAATCCCTTATACGCACTAGACTAAAGTCTCATTTGACAATTTTCCTTCCTACAGACACCATCCCAAAGTGTAGAAAATGCACAGGTTCCCCACCCCAACATATGTGCTGAAAGTCTATATCCTTAATTCTTTCCATTCTTTAGGATGATGTCARAAAAACACAATTTTTAGGTCATCTTTCCATGAATTATTTGAAAACAAAAACATCATGCAAAATAATCTGAATTTAAGTTGAGTAAATAAAATGGAAACAAAAATGGAAAGTACAGGTTGCACAGACCCTATATTCGAGGAGCTCAGAATCCTAAAAAAGAGAAGGAGGAAAAGTCCCTAAGCTTTACATTTAATACAGGATGCAATAAACATTCAACAGCACAAAGAGCACAGTAGAAAGGAGGGTGCAGTCATATCTGGGCATGTTAAGATATGCTGTATGGAAGAGAGGGGCACCTAAAATGTGCTTGGAAAGAAAGGATGTCACCAGGTCCAGTTGGAAGGAGACAGGTGCAAGGTTTTAAACAAGATCCTGCCTGTGCTAAGGCAGAAAAGCAGGAATGCACAGCACGTGCTTCAGGAAGGGGAAGTATTCCAGTGTAGCCAGAGACAAAGAGGAACCAAGACAGCAGCACAAAATCAGGATGGAGAGACAGGATAGATCCCTGCCCCCACCCTGGTCCTTTGGAGAAATTTGAATGTAGACTGTAAAATAAACAATACTATACAATATTAAATTTCTTAGGTACAAAAATGACATAGGATTGAGTAAGAAAATATCCTTGCTAYTGAATGATACACACTGAGGTTCCTAGGAGTTAAAAAACAATTTTTTTAGTATAAAAAAGGTGTTTCTGATTAATACTCCATTGTGCATATAAACATGTTTAGACTATATTATCTTGTCCCCCAAAAACCTTACTCTATGAACAGATTTGTGACCATCAAAAAGTAACATCTGCATATTACTTTTAAATGGTTCATGAAAAAAAGTTATGATTGCAAAGGCATGTATATGTGTAAAATAAAAAGAGGGGGTTGCTGGGGGAAGCAGTGTAATGAATTGGTAGGCAAAGATGGGGAGAAACATGATTTTACATTTGGTCCCAAGCAATGAAATCAAAGTACTGGAGTGAAGGAAACAGGTAGGATAGGAACAGAAATAATTTATGGTCTGGAAACTGCAGGCTACTCTGTGAGATTTAATAGTGTCATATGACAAGTAACTTTATTCATAATTTCCACCCCCTCTGGCGGAAAAGGCAAATCCTCAGCTATAGCATCTTTTTAAAAATTTGTTATTTTTAGATGTGCATGACAGTAGAATGTATTTTGACATATTATACATACATGGAATATAACTTATTCTAATTAGGATCCCATTCTTGTGATTGTATGTCACATGGAGTTTCACTGGTCATGTATTCATCTATGAACATAGAAAAGTTATGTCCCATTCATTCTACTGTGTTCCTATTCCCATACCCCCTCCCTTCCCTTTATTCCCCTTTGTCTAACCCAGTGAACTTCTAGTCCTCTATTTCCCCCTTATTGTGTGTTAGCATCCATATATCAGAGAGAACATCTGGTCTTTGGTTTTTGGCACTGACTTATTTCACTTAGCATGATAGTCTCCAGTTCCACCTTCTTAGTATGAAATGCCAAAATTTCATGCTTCTTTATGGCTGATTAATACTCCATTGTGCATATAAACACATTTAGGCTATATTATCTTGTCCCCCAAAACCTTACTCTATGAACTGATTTGTATCCATCAAAATCCAAATGTTGGAGACCTAACATCCAATGTTACTGTTATGTAGAAGTAAGGCCTCTTAGGAGAATAGAGGTTAAATGAGGTCATAAAGGTGGGGCCCTGAAATGAAAAGATGATTAACCTCATAAAAGACATAGAAAGAAGCAGCAGAGAGAGAAGGTGGCCATTTGAAGCCAGGAAGAGAGTCCTGCCACACTGGCACCCTGGCCTCAGACTTCCAGTCTCCAGAACTGAGAGAAAATGAATGTCTGCTGGTTAAACCCCAACCGGTCTATGTTGTTTCATCATGGCAGTCCAGAAGTTTACTCACACAGATTATCAGTTTATGTGGTTAAAAAAAAAAAAAAAAAAACACGATCTCTAATGCTAGGAAACATTTTCACATAGTGATAGGCAAACATTACAAAAGTAGTCCATGACACTGTGTCTTGGCAACCAGGAGTAAGAGCACCATCTCTGCTCACTTTCTAGTGATGCCATCTGCTCATCACATCGGCTGGTCTCCTTAAAAAGCAACCCGTACCAGTTACTTACAAAGTGTAAGCCATAAACAGTTAAAGACACTTAGTGGAATTAGTAGCTTTGAAGTCAATGTAGACCTAAAGACCGACACGGCCACCAGAAGCTGCATGACTTTAGAGGCAATACTGAACTCCTGTAGTATGCTTCCTCCTCTATTAATTGAGGGTTGCATTGAGAGATGAAAGAATGGATTCACACAACAAATACTTGAGTGCTTACTGCTCACACAGACAAGTGGTGAATGATGAGTGAGTGGGACAAGCTGCAGGCAGTAGTGATGTGGCACTGGCAGGGGACCCTGCTAGCAGCTAGAAGAGGGAAGGCAGACTCAGGCACACAGGTCTCCATCACCCCACCATGGGATGATGTAGGCATGGCTCTGCCACACCACACACACACACACACACACACACACACACGTATATAACAATCTGCAGGCTACAATCAGATCTTATGCCAGTTTTTGACCTACAATTTCTGTATCTGATGCACTCAACACAATGATGATCATTCTCTACATCTTTTAAACAAACATTGTTGGCCTCTAAAATAATCATTCCTCAGACTTAGAAAGCTCCAGGGTCTAAACCAGCCTTTACTGAGGAAATGCAGATGAGCAGATTCTCTTTGGTGTCCTATAAGGTTCAATACTCTAAGTGGGAAGGGAAGTTAAATGAGAGCAGTTCAGTAGAGAACGAAGGACAGCATGGTTGCTCACGAATGCATGGGTCTCACACTATCTACCTGCTTACCCGTCAGGCCCACCACAGAAAGGAGCCCACAGCCTCAGGATATTCAGGCTGTGAAAGTGCCATATATGAAGCACTACCTGCCAAGCACAAGTTGAACCCTTTATCTATAAAGTTATCTAGGGTTTCCCGTGTATGCCATGGTGTTCCTTCCTTCCATCCTCAAAGGGGTCCCGTTTCCTAGACACCCAAGAGGGAGTGAAGGCTGGAGAGGTGAACCCCTGCCCCAGAATGGAAGCAGAACTGCCAACTGAGTGTAAGCCTGTGTCCTCCTTTAAGCACACTGCATCCCAACACGGATGTCAACATTAGGGCTTTGGTTAAAGCAAAACACTCAGAGGGCTTGACCGCTGGGGTAGTGGGACAGAAAGGCAGCATGTAAAAGTTGCTGAGAATCTAAATCTCCCCCAACCTCCATCCTCCTGGACATGAGCACAGCCCCAAAGCCAGCTACCTGGGCAAACGGGTACCAAAGGAGCGCACCAGTACACCCATGAAGCAGGGACACAGCAGCCCTGTCAAACCCTTCACAGAGGCCAGCTTTCTCCCCACCTCTGCACCAGCTGGGAAAACACTGGTTCAACAGGCAAGGAGATGTGTTGTGGTAGGCCTTAGAGGTGTGCAGCGCACAGCAGCAGGGGGAAGCCACTTGGAAGCAACCCCTGTTATGCTGCCTCAGGCAAGGCTAGGAGCCCAATCCACAAAACCCAAGGCTGTCAGGCACAACTAGTGCTCTTCCCTAGTCCRGGACTTCCTTCTGTGCAGGCTGCCAGCTTCTTTTACCATAGCCACTGCCCTGCCCCTCTCATCAACATGCTGGGTCTGTGGTGGAATCCACACGTCCAGGAATGAAAGCCTGTCTCCTTAGTGTGTGGCTATCACACAACCCTGGGACGGCACATAGGACCTGGGATAGGATTCTCCACGTTGAGATAGGAGAGAAACTGTGGAAAAGCTTATGGAATAGGTTCCTATGCTCTTGGAAAGGGACAGCTGGGGAAGAGTGAATGCTGGCTGGCACTCAATATGAGAAAATTATTCATTACTGGAGGACAGGAGGTGACAGTGTTATTAGGGTTATGTTTTTAAGGTAAAAGTCCTTAYCCTCTGGCATAGTTAGGAATTAATGTCTAAAATTTGCTTCAAAATAATGGGACAGGGAGGGAAATCAGGAAACTGACGCTGGATGGCACCCTCAGTACTTCTGTGCACATTTGAACTTTTTTTTTTTCTTTTGCAGTGCTAGGGATAGAATCTGGAGCCTTGCACATACTAGGCAGGCAATCTACCACTAGGCCTCACTCCCAACCCTGTCTGAACCTGTCAACAAYAGACAGGAGCTTGGGAGGTGAGATCTCCCACCCACCAGGCAGCCCTGCATGTGGGTGGCCTGGCTGCACCTGGTCTGTGCCCAAGGAAAGATCTATAGAACACAGCGCCACAGTGGAGATGGCAAGATGCTCAGTCTCTGAGGGTGCCACTGGGCCATTAGGAGGCTGGACCTCCCTCCAGGACTACTCCTTGTGCACAGTGGTATTTGCCCCTTGCTCTAGCAACTATAGGCTGGGTTTTTAGTGACTTGCACCAAAAGCATTCTAACCTTCATACTCCATGCATCTATGGCCACTCTGGGAAACCTCGGGAGGGCTTCCACTGCCCCAAGACACTCAGCTACGCTCAGATGACTAAGGGGGAATTCACATCCTCCAAAGCAGGAGTGACCTGCAGAGTTCATTTAAATACTATGCACTCAATGCTGGTGGCCACCTGAAGAGCTGCAAGAGAATTTCAGTGGCCACTCGTGAGAGGGTATTGAAGAACTAGAGGCTGACTACTATTGTCAGGCACCCGAGTGCAGTGATAGCACCAACAAAATCCAAGTGTGCTCTATGGTCTGAGACTAGCAAAGAAGGGAAAGTTCATCCAGAGTTATAGGGTGGCCTAGAACTGTAAAGAATAGCAAGTTATGATCTTCAGTCTCAAGGCCAGAGCCTAGGAGGAAAAACTGATGAAAAAATTAAAATAAAGACAAGTAAGGACATGGGGGCTCAGTTCAATGGAAGAGTGTACTTAGCATGCACACATCTTGGGTTCAATCTCCAGAACCAAATACACTGATATAAAAGCACACACAACTTACGTTAAGAACCCCAGATGGAGCAGTGATCAACTTGATTAGTACAAGGGAAGCAAGGTGGCAGGGTTTCTGGGAGCGGTGATATGTATATGTGCATGCAAATGTACAGATAAGACACGACCAAGGCAGATGTAGGGATTAATTGCAGAGTACTGTGTGTAGGATCCCCAGGCCACACATCCTGTCTACTAGACTATGAAAAGCTGCCCATACAGTCACAAACTGCATTTTATAGAGGGGGGAAAAAATGAAAAAGCAATAAGAATTTTCTTCCAACCAGAGGCACAAAGGCCTAGGACTCAATCCATAAAACTTAGTGCAGGCTGCAATTTCCTGGCTGAGGCCCCACATTTTCTGACACATAAAGAATATCCACTTAGTATTTTAGGCAGGAAGTGGTAGCTTGAACTTTGGGCTTCATGAAATATTTTAAACAAGTTTTGCATTTTTCCTCTTAGAAAAAGAAATTATTTTCTTATTTCTTCATAAAAAATATATATATAAAATAATCTTTATTATGATTATTTAGCAGCAAGAAACAATTTCACTAAAAGGTGTTTCTTTTGCATTTAAGTTGTACTTATGATTACCACTGAGAATCGGTCCAAGATTTTGGTAATGACATCGATTTTTGGTACACAGAGGGTTCTCAATGTTTGGTATAAGAGAAATATGTCTATGACAATATCATAAATACATTTCAAGACACAAATGCCTGTCCTGTGATTTAAGAATTTTCATATATTCAAAACACTATATATCTAAGAATTTCTTAGAAACTCACTGGAATRTGGCAGGTGTAAGATTTCTGCAAATGAAAATGGCCATCAGGCCACAAGGAGACTTCCAAGTAACTTGGCCCTTCTAAGGGTCTTCTACTTGGCTCAAGGGTCATGCCAGCAGGTAAGAACAGTCACCCTCCCAAGTACTTTCACAAGGAGTGAGGAGCAAGGCAATCATCAGTGCCCTGAGAGGGAAACTGCAGTTCAAGATCCAAGTGCCCACTAACGTCAACTAGCTCTAAAGTACAAAGGCAGGACCAAGCCTAGTCCCGTGTTTTCCACCTAGGCGTTCCGGCACCACACTAGGCAGCTCGAAGTTGTAAATACACTCTACCTTCTGTCACCTTTAAAACACTATACCAAACTGCTCAAATTTGATGCGACCTTAATCTCTTAGATAACTGAATGTTTTCCAAACACATGATCATTCTGGTCACAAGTAATTTAATCTATGCTGCTTCTAAAATAAGGAAAATCTTGCTGAAATCCCTCACAAATTAATCCCTTCTCTAGACCTAAAGGAACAAAACTGCATCAGGGAACAACCCAATGCAAGGACAGATCAGTCTCTCCCATCCCTTCTACAGAATCTTCAAGGAACTTCTTAGTGGTGATAGGGCCAGGGGTTGCTAACTGAGGCTTCCCCTATCAGGAAACTTCAGAAGAAAACCTATGAAGAATTCTACATTCTGGAGGCTTGTCTAACAGCTTTCAGTATGAGAATGTCACTGTTTCAAAACTTTAAATGTAAGAACACTTCATTCTCAGTGACTCTCAAAATCTACATTCAATCTGTGATCTTTCAGGCAGGGAAATACTGAGTTTTTCCCCCACAGTACACATCAGTGGAGGGTCCTGGCCTAACAATGTCTCCTCCATGTGCCTCTGAAGGATGGTGTCCATCTCAGTTACAAAAACAAAACCTGAGGCCCCAAAAACACCAATCCAGCAACCTTCCCCCAACCCTGCAAAGCCTAAACTTCTACTTCTGCTGGGCCCACAGCAGAAGCTCATAGTTAGTGTATATGGAAGAAAAGAAGGGACAGAGGGACAGAATGAGAACATGAACCATGCTGCAGTGTGGCTCACAGTGACACCTGATGGTACACAGCAACATCCACCCCCCCTCACCAAGTCGGACTCTGGACAATGTCAACTGTCATCCCAGGTCACATCTGTCTAGCCTACCTTCACAGTTAAAGTGTACCGTGGATGTGTACTCAGGTCCAGTGTTAACATTCATGTCACCAACCTGGCCAGTGTAAGCATCTGAATTAAGGACAAATGACCTTGACTAAAGAAGATGGCATTTCTGCTGGGCAAATACGCACCATGTATTAGGAGTGACATACTCAGTGTAGCCTCTAGAAAGGGGCTCTTCTGTTGAGGACAGCACGGTGGTGCATGCCTATAATCTCAGTGACTTGGGGAACTGAGTTCAAAGCCAGCCTCAGCAATATAGTGAGGCCCTAAGGAACTTCGCAAGACCCTGTCTCAAAAAATAAAAATGGTTGGGATGTGGCTCAGTAGTTAAGTGCCTCTGGGTTCAATCCCTGGTACCAAAACAAAACAAGACAAAAACAGACAAGACCAAGGCAGGGAATGTGGCAAGATAAGCCATTGGATAATTTAGTATTTTTTTTTAACTTAAAGATAATCTAGGATTTTTTTTTAACTTAAAAGTAAAACTAATACTGACTAGGAAGCATGATTCAGTAAGCATAAGTACCTAAGAGCTGTATTTCCAGTGCCACACAGCTTCAGTGAAGGCTGGGTGAGAGAAAATGGGACAAGCAAAGGAAAAAGCAAGGACCACACAGCACAAGAGATGCCAGAGAGAAGATGAGAAACTGCCGTGGGACTTGAGAGCAAAGACAAAAGGAAGAACAGAAGGGACACAGACCCAGCGAGACCTAGGGGCTGGCACCTAAGTGGAAGGAGAGATGGCACAGCCTTGTTGGAGGGTGATTTGTTAACAATTGAGACCTAAAATGAGATGCCTCTTCATCAGATATATTTCTTTTATAATTTACTGCCACATTTTCTGCCCCTCTGTCTAGGAAAACATCTATCCTTCTGTATGAGCTGGTATAATAAAAATGACTCTGGGTGAGAAACAAGCAAACTGGGCAAGACAGATGGTCTTGTGGAGCTCAGACCTGGAAGCTTCCTGAGCTGCCTGATGGCCACAGCAGATGTCACCAGACTGTGATGCCTAGTAACCACAGAGCACATGACCAGCTCCTCTCTACCTTTTTTTTTTTTAAGCATTCTTTATTGTTTAGACATAGCTACTTTTCATTTACTTATTGCTAAAATGAATTCAAATGTGTAGTTTCTTTTATGCTAGAGCAAACCAGGAAATCAGGACACAACTGCCATCGTTAAATTTTAATCTTCAAAGAACAAGATCTCCACAAGGCTGGCCTGAAGACACTCAGATTCTACCAGTTTTTGAGATGTTCCATATTTAATTAGTGGAGGGACTGCAGTTACTTTCAGTTGTTTTCTGAAGTCATCAATTGGATCTTTCCAAGAAGTTTTTTCTCCTACTTGGCAGTGGATGAACACCCAGCCTTTACTGATAGGCTTCAGCCCCTCTCGAATGACTGGGATACCAGCTGTTCCCTTCAGTGTCCTTAGAACCCATAAAGTACAGGAAAATGGTCTTGCCGAGGTGCCGCTTCACAGCCTGACTCAACTCCTGGAAGCCCGACATGTTCACCTCCTCATAGACAGCCATAGGTACTGTGCACTGCTCGGGGCAGAAGGAGTCCACTGCTGCTGGGCAGGACCCGCTCAGGGTGGGGGGATAACACTTCTGATGTCCTCTCCACCTTACACTAACAAAGTGCTTTGCCTTTTGCAATTTAGGTAAAATTTGTTTCAAGCACAATTCTTAAGGAAACAGTACAAGTACTGTCCACAGTGATACAGCAGCAAGCATAGACACTGCCCGGAGCAAAATACAGAAGATGCCCTCAGATCCTTTCCTAGTCACTCTTCCCAGTCTCACCCTCACCCTTTTTGGCTTAAGAGATAGTGACCAGAGTGGTCCTATCTTGGAGGCTGAACTGGATGACAGCAATTTATAGAGGTCAGTGATTTCACAGCCCTACATAAGAGAGGAAACTGAGCAGCCACAACTTTACCAGTATTTCATGAATAATAACTGGTAGCTAATGTCATACACAATGATCAGAATTCTTTGAAGATGAGCGAGCCCCACCCACCTACCGAGAACACCCTACAGAGAACACCAAAGTCCATCTGAGCACTCAGTAAATAAACGATTTCCCCCCAGGATTTTCTTCCTCACTCACCTGGCTGTTTGGGTCTCCAAGTAAGTTACATATGTGTGGCACGATCTTGCTTAGTGTCAGAGTATGTGCTCCAGAGCTGAGAACAAAAGGGGTGTGTGACTGTTAGTGAGAACTAAGGAAAAGAAAGAAGCCCCTTTGCCCACAGCCGCCCCTCCTCCACTTCCCAGAGTGCAACCACCCTCACAATGCGGCCCTCTCCACCCTGATGGAACGCACCCCAATGGGCCCTTTCCCAGGAGTTCAAGCCCCTCAGTGGCCCTGACCTTTAGAGGCTAAGCCAGAAGCCTGCTCCCACCATAGTGCTTGCCTCACCCATGACATCTCTGCCCTGTGCTTTGTCATGTCATAGTATCTGTCCTGACAAGCTCAGTGACCAACCAAACTGCAAGTCCCTTGAAGCCACCCCTGGAGGGTCCTTGTGCTCTATGGAACAGCTCCTGCTATAGCAGACATTCCGTTAATGCTGCTGGATGACAAAACTGTGATGGAGTAGCTGCAGGACTTCCGACCACATGCTGCCCTGCTGGGAGACCTTCAGGTATTCACAACTCTTCCCCATCACAAGCACAGTTGCCACAAACGCCCTTTGTTAATATATTATATAAATGGTAGAGACAACTCTAGAAAATATTTCAGTAGTTTCTTTCAAAACTAAAAAATAACCCTGCCACTGTACTCTTGGGCAATGACCCAAGGGAAATAAAAACAACATACCTGCAGAAATTTAGACATATTTGTGTATACACATTTGTAGCAACTCTATTTCTAATAGTCCCAAACCCAAATTTTCTTCAACAGTTGAATGGTTCAACCAACTGGGATACATCTATAGCATGAAGTCTCAGCAATAAAACAAAATGAATTACTGTCACTGTCAATAACAGATATTACAACCTCAAGGGAATTATGCAGACTAAAAAGGCTCTCAAAAGATTACATATGGTATTATTCCATATTTATGACAAAATGACAGAGATGGAACACAGACTAGTTATCCAGGCAACAGGGTAGCAGGTGGGAGACCTGTGAGTACTGGTGTGCATCCACAGAAGTCACACATGTATACCTGGAGCAATCTGAATAAGCTCTGTGAGCTGTGCCAATATCCCTTTCCCAGAGTTGACACTGTACTACCTGAAGTTCACTGTACTGCAGTTATGGGAAATGTCAGCACAGGCAGGGGGATACACCTCCCACTATATTTCTTTGCAGCTTCCCATAAATCTATAACTTCCAAAATAAAAAAATGTATTACAAAGCTTAAGCCAAGTAAAACTTATAAATACACCCTAGACTTACGCATTGAGTGTTGCAATAAGGCAGAGACAGATGCCTTCTCTTGTACGGAAATTCTTGTGTTTGAAGCCTCCAAGCATTCTGTCCCATACATACTGCAGGTAAAAGAACAGGTGAGAGGACAGAAATAGCTGCAGCCCTTCCCTTGGGTTGCAGAGGAGGAGCCTCTTAGAAGGTGCCAACCTGGTCCCATCCTTCATCAGCCCCCTCTGCCCTCTCCACAGCATATTGAAGAACAATGGCTTATTATCAAACACATCATGTTAAAATGTTCAAAATGCATACATTTATAGAATTTTATTTAATTCCATCAACACCTCTTAAAAGAGAGGTATAACTGGCCTTGTTTTATAAGTGAGAAGAACAAGCCCAAAAGAGAAGAGATGACTTGACAAAGACCCTGTAACACACTGCTCTATGCCTGGGACAACTATACCCTGGCACAAGTCACACACTTGGTCATCTTCTATGGCCAATTTAATCTTTCCCTCAGAAAGGTTTTTACTGATGATCATCCCCACCTCACCACCAACAATGGACAGTGGGACCCTGACAGGCTGCATCCAATCATCCCAGCAGGCCCAGCTCCACAGCAGATAGAGCCCAGGGTTCCAGCCAGTGCCCCTAGCTTCCCAGATACCAGGGATGCCTCCTTTCAGGGAAAAGGGGAAGCCAGTGGTGAAAAAGAGTTAAAGAGCCTAACCGATAAACCAAGCATCCAAAACCCATGTTAAATCCACTAATTTATTCAAATGATGGGTTCTGCTACTAATTTAAACATCTTATGTTAGGGGACAGATTAAATATATGAAAATGCTCCCCTGTAACACACCAACTTAAAAGAAATTAAATCTATGGAGTAAAATGCTGTTTATCCAAGTGGACACATGCCCACTGACCCCAGAATGCTTCTCTCACCTACCTGGGGATTAGCAGCTTGATCCATGATCTTTAGCAGCAGAGTTTGGTCTTGCTCCCTCACAGAGTCTTTAGCATCTCCCAGTCTGTCTATTAGACTTGGCAGCACTGAAAATCAATATGGAAATTGAACAAATGGAAACCAAATGGTGATGGGGGGGGGTCATCAACTGCTAATATTTCAACTAATTAGGAAGATAAACCACTGGCCTAACTCATGTACCTCATTCTAAAACMGCCCATTTTTGTTCACAGCTCTACTCTTCTTGATGAAACGCAAGAATTACCAAAAGAATCTACAAAATCCACTGCATGGACAAATTGCAAAACCAACTGGCTTGGTTTTGCGTCAGTTTTGCAGGGCTTCTTAAAACAGTTCTATAAAAGAAAGGTTGAGGACAAATATGAGTGGGTCGGTACTAAAGAATGATGGCTACTTTTGCAAAAGAAATCAAGTTGGCAATAACATTTCATTATCAGAACACGCGTTATTAATGTTCCATATTAAAACATGAAGACTGGGGGGAAAACAACAGAAAAGTACAATGCAATAAGGCCAGTGATGTGTGGTGTGGGGAGAAGGGGGTGCAGCCCTGCTGGGGAAAGCAGAAGGAAACAGAGCTGGGAAGCAGGGTTGGCAGGGAGCGAAGGGTGGCTGGAGGAACTGAGAAGACTCAGGGAAGGCAGCGGGGCTGCAGGGAGGAGAATCCAGGTCGGCTCCACACCTGCCCACAGCTCACCTGTGCCGATCTGCGCCTTGAACCGATCCTGCAGCCGGGTCACCAGAGCCGACAGGATATCCATGCCCAGAAGAACCACCTGCAACGGGAAACAGCAGGAGCCGGTCAGCGGCGGGCCCGGGGAGCAATGCTCCCGCCCACCCACTCAAAGAACGCCCCAGCATGTCTGGCCCGACGTTATCCGGAGCCCGTAGCGCAGGCGCTGACTGGGAAAACTAAACTGGCCAGAGGAAGGAGGCTGTCGCACAAAACAGCCGTTTACAGTTTTGGTAGAAAATACTCAGTGCCAAAAAAACGAAAATAAGCAGCCACGCGTGGCCCAACTCCCCGGCGCCAAGAAGAGCTCCTCGCGGCCCCGCCCTCTGTCAGCCCCGCCCCGTCAAGCGCGTATGCAAATTATCAGTCGGCTGGCGCGAGGYCTTCTGGGTAAAACAACCCTTCGTTTTGCGGCCCTTCGAAGCCTCAGAAAATGGGAGTAGGTGGTTTGAGTTGGGAGCTATGGTCACTAGAAGTAAGCTAACTAACAGGCAGGCTAGGGCGGGACTCCTGAAATTAGTCACCACAACCCTACGTGGTATTGGAGCTTCCAGCTCGCAGTGCACGCAAACTCTCGCTCAACCATCCTTTTCTTGGGGTTGCGTTACTGTCCAATGAGCGTCTAGTGAGGGCAGTACTGCTAACGCCTACACAACACACTCGCATCAACTAGAGCTTTGCTTTATTTTGGTGCAATTTTTGGAAAAACGAAAAACCTCTTTTCCCTGCGTTAAGWGTTTAAAGATAGCTAACTTAATCTTTGAAGAAACTGTAGTGCTTTACTTTACCATCGCTAGGTGGCGTAACACACCCACTGTATTGTTTTGAAAAGACTGGATTATCACAAAACCCACTCCCACTTCACCATCACCCGATTTCTAATCCTTGTGATTTGAGATACCTAACCCATTATTCAAAAAGAAAACACTATTGGAAGTGTTTGTAATACTGGCTGCCATTGCTCCTCCAATTCATGATTCCTCCAACTATAGCTAGCAAAGAACTGGGCTTCATATTTAGTTGTCATCCACTGCTTCTAAAGAAATCCAAATTTGCCCAATAATCACAATACATGAATTGGCGTGGCCTCTCAAGGGAATAGCTATTTGACAATTTATTAAATGAAGGTTGATTTGTAGACAAGTTTTTATACTATTATGTAATGGTATTTTAAAAAGCTAATAGTGACTTTTTAATATTATGTGGATTTTTCCTTTTTGTAGATGGATACAATATCTTTATTTGTTTATTATTTTGCTTTTGAGCTTTAAAAACGTTCCACATTTAACTTCCTTCTTATAAAAACAGTATAGGGCATAGTAATCTTGCAGTGACAGATGTTACCCCAGCTAGATGATGAAGGTCAATCAGCAATCAAATCATGCTGGTGGTTTGTATTCTTGATATTATGAAAAAGGCACTCTTTATCTCTAGGACAGTCCTCCCAACAACCAGTAAGTCCAGTCTTATGAGAAAAAAAAAAAAGCAAGAAAATTCCAAGAACAGGGCTCCTATAAAACACATGACCAGTGCTCCTCAAAATGTCCAGGTCATTAAAAACAAGGAAGACTGAGAAATTGTTACAGCTAAAAGACACCAAAGGAAACATAACAACTAATGTAAAATGGTATTTTGGATGGGATTCTGGAACAGAAAAATATCAGATTTTTCTTAAATTAAAAACTAAGTGGGGCTAGGATGTGGCTCAAGCAGTAGCCCGCTCGCCTGGCATGCGTGCCACCCGGGTTCGATCCTCAGCACCACATACAAAGATGTTGTGTCTGCCAAAAACTAAAAAATAAATATTAAAAATTTTTTCTCTCTCTCTTTCTCTCTCTCTCTCTTTAAAAAAAAAAAACTAAATCATCACTAGTAAAAACTAAGTAACAAAGCATAGATTTTCACCAATAATAATGTATCGATATTGGCTTATAAAGTGTAAGAAATATTCCATACTAATGTTAGATGTAATGACAAGGTGAAGAGGAATAAGATACATAGGGACACACTGCATTATCTACAATATTTCTGTAAATTCAAAACCTTTATAAAAAAATAAAATTTTGTGGAGTTTTTGGGTTTGTTTTGCTTGCAGTGCTAGGGATTTAACCCAGGGCCACATTCAGGCTAGGCAAGTACTCCTATCACGGAGCTACCTTCCCAGCCCAAAGTGCAGTTTTCAGAAACAAGTAACCCATCACTTCACTGGAACTGACTCCCTCCCCCCTGATGACATCCTAGGCAGCTGCACAGTTGCATTTCTGGTTGGATTATTACAAAATATTAAGAGTGCTGCCTTCAGATCGCACCACACCTTTCAAAAGTCACTCAAGACTAAGGTGTGAGAGGACTACTGCATTTTCAGATATGACAGCCCAGGTGGATTAAGCTATCCATGAGATCTAGGAAGGCAACTTTAGCTCTTCCAGAATGCAGTTCAGGTACTTACAGAGCAACTGGACTTTGGAGGGAAACAAAGGGACTTGCCACACACAGTTGTCTAGTTCGCCCTCAGTAACAGACCCAAGGACAAGGACAGGAATCACCAGCACCAGTGTGTCTTCACAGCTCAGGCCCCTCTCCTGTTTCTATTTCACCACTGAAGAAGGGGACACATACAAAAGTCCTTGCCCAAAAGGTCACTCTAAATATTAGCTGGGGAACCTCTGTGCCTTAGTTCCCTCTTCTCTCAAACAGCTACATCACAGGCGGTGGTGACCATTCAATGCAGTGTGCACATAAAGTGCGTGAGCTAGGGCCTCGTACACGGTAAGGGCTGGACTACACAGAATAGTCATCCTCACAGATCAGTGCCATTGCCACTGGCACCCACATGGGTGACAGGAACTGGGCTAGCAGAGAAGGCCTCCCAGAAAGTGCACAGGGCTACATTTTGAAAGGACGGAGCTACACATCAAAGAGATGAAGAGACCTCTATGCAGAGGGAAGAGCGAATGTTAAGCTGAGGGCAGTGATATGGCCAGATACAGGAGCCACAGGGGACATCCCCAAAACAGCCAGGGGACCCAGATAGTGAAGAGTCACTGAAGGGCTGTAAGGAAGGGGTAGGTACTACGGGAGCTGGAGCCTTTAGAGAGGACAGTGGCCACCATGGTGAAGATGGTCTGAAGGCTCTCACCCAGCACTTGCTTTTGCAGAGCCTTTGAACACCTCCTCCAGCATTTTTTCCAGTCCCTGGTGTTTATACTTGCTTCATAGCTGAACTCCTGTAATGTGAGGAATCCTACATCCATTTCCTCAGAATTCCCCTTGTATACAGTGGCACAGTGCTGGGTACATAGCAGTGTAGACCCCTACTCGACTAATGAACCAGACTGGAACAGATGGGTTCTCCGAGCCCAACACAGTTTCTTTATCTTAAAAACTTTAAAAAGATACTCCCATAAAGGAGGTAGATATAGCTAAGTAATTGGACCAAAGTTCCCGCTGAGAACAACAAAAAATGCTTGGCATAATAGAGCATCTGCTTAGAACCCTCTGAAAGAACAGGAGAACCACCGAGTCAAGGCACGAAAGATGACTGAGGCTTGCAGAGATGCACCCTGGTGATGGGTCCACTTCTGCCCTGGGCCATTATGCATAGAGAGGGGCAACTGACACACTGAGGATGGTTTCTGATCTCTTCCTGACTCACCAAGCATGACAAAGTCAAGACCCCAAAGCTCTCCAGGGTTGGGGTAGAGGGGTAACCGTCTACAACTGGGGCTAGAAATCCAAATGGCTAGGCCTTGGCTGCTGGGTGGTCCAGCAAAATCCTAATCGCTGACCTCAGACTAAGGTGATTTTAAAATGTGTATGCCCTAAAGCCCCTCAGAGATAAAGACATAAATTATTTCAGGGTAAAGAGAACATCATCATAGTCTACCTCAATTTATTTCTGGAAGTTTTTCAAAAGTAATATTCAAAATCCAACCAGAGATTTCCAGGCACAAAGGGCATCATAATTTAAACTAGCAGAAATAAAGGCCCACTTGAATTCTTAACCTGAGAATAATCAGAAATAAATTTTAAAATAATAATTCTTACTGAGAAGATAAACACAGAATTGAAATTTGGGGAAGAGAAATGGCAGCTTTTGAAAAGTTACACCAATTTTTTTAAAAAACAAGTACCAGACAAAATTAAGTACTCAGTGGATGGGCTATGTCTAAAGCACATTGGATATAGTAGCTTTGGAAAATGACATAATGGCTCTTTAAAAAAATTAACATTACCATATGATCCAGCAATTCCACTTCTGGATATATACCTAAAATTAGCATCTCACAAATATTTATATGCCCTTGTTCACAGCATCATTATTTACAATAGCTGAGAGGTGAAAAGCCAAAAATGTCCATCTTCAGGTGAGGTGGACATACAAAATGTGGTCTTATCCATACAGTACAACATTTTTGGCCTTAGAAAGCAAAGAAATTTTGATATACAGTTCCCTACCTTGTTCACTGTTTCTTTCTGTGGTTTGCTATACACAACCACAGTCCAGAAATACTGCCTGGAAAATTCCAGAAATAAACAATTCATAAGTTTCAAATTGTGTACTGTTTTGAAGAGCAGAATGAAATCTTGTGCTTTACTGTTTAGTTCCACTCAGGACATTAATCATCTCTCTGGTATCCATGCTGTATACACTACCTGCCTGTTAGTTACTCAGCAACAATCTCAGCTATAAATCATCCGTCAAGTTTCATAGTGCTTGTGTTCAAATCACCATCATTTCACTTAAAATAGTTCCCAAAATGCAAGAGTAGTGACTCTAGTAATTTGGATCTGCCAAAGAGAAGCTTTCTTAAAGTAAGAAATTAAACTAAGGGAAAATTCAAATGCTGAGGTTGCTCAGATCTGCAGTACAATGAGCTATTTTGAGAGAGAAACCACATTCTCATACTTTTATTATGTATACTGTTCTATTATTGCTATTGTCCAAGTCTCACTGCGCCTAATTTATCACAGAACTGTAGCTAAACTTTATCATGAATAGGTATGCAAGGGAAAAAAACAAACACAGTACCTCTAGAGTTC